CCATGGGTTGTCACAACAGACATTTTTATGCGGCTATGCAATGCGGAAAACGTATGCTGACGAGAAGTTGTCTGTGTGTATGTGTATGCGCTGGGCTTCTGTACCGATTTTTCTTCTCGAGACCTACAAAAGCTACAGAGCTGAAATTTCGGGAACTTAATCTACATGCATGTATGGGCTCCCATCCACAAAATGGGCGGTTTTACCCGCGTGGTGTCACGTACGGGCCCGTGGAAGTTTTTTGCGGGTAAGTCGCTAACTGACGAGCCAGAAAAGCTAGAAAGCTGAAATTTTAAGGGAATGTTTCCCGTTAACGTAAGTCTCACTGAGCTCAAACCCAGACTCTGGGTATGCATGGTACCCATGTATGAGCCCGCCAAAATTTTTTCCGGGTAAGTCGCTAAATCAATAATTGAAAAGCTAGAAGAGTCTAATTTTAAGAGGATATTCGCCGTCCATCTCAGTCTCACTGAGCTCAAACCCATCCCCGTGGGTATGCGTGGCACCCACGTACGGGCCCGTGAAAATTTTTTTTTCGGGTAGTAGCTCGGGGACCTGAGAAGCTAGAAGACTGGAATTTTGAAGGGATGTTTCCAGACAATTTTGGGGGCCAGTCTGAAATTCTTTTAGCTAGAAGCATCTTTCGGAAAAAAACAGTGCCGCTAGCGACAGATATCTACGGGGAACTATGCAAAAAACGCATCTTCTCACGGGCAGCCCGTGCGTTGACCAATTACTGCATTTACCTATAGGCGAAATCGCTTAATTTAGTCTATCAGGTATTAAAATGTTGTCGATAGTTATCACAGTTGGCTCGTACTTGACTTGTTTTACCAGTTATCGAGCTTAACTTGCGTGTTATGAGAACCGGTTTACCATTTAACGGAATCGAGTTACTAATTATAAGAGCCAGTTTGCATATTCCCATAGTCGACTTGTTGACACAGTGTCAATTCGCATGTTATCGATTCCAAATTTTGAAATCTACTTGTCACTCATGAAGATTAATCTGCGGATTTATCAGGTTTAGTTTGTGGGAAATTTTTCCTCTCTTTGGTGGCAACCACCTTTCTTCCCAGTGTTCGTTCACGCAGAGTGACAATCTTTACAGAATGTATAGACAATACAGGGGACTTAATCTACATGCACGTATGGGCCCCCATCCCCAAAATGAACGGTCTCACCCGCGTGGTACCCGCGTACGAGCCCGCCAAAATTTCTCCCGAGTAAGTTGATAACTCGCGAACAAGAAAAGCTAAAAAGCTGAAATTTTAAGGGGATGCTCCCCGTCCACATTAGTTTCAACGAGCTCAAACCCAGCCCTTGGACATGCGTGGTGCCTACGCACGGATTCATCAAAGTTTTCTTCGGGTAGGTTCATAACTCGAGAACCTGAAAAGCTAAAAGTCTGTAGTTTTAAGAAGATTTTCCCCGTCCAAGTAAGTCTCAAAGAGCTCAAACCCAGACATCGGATATGCGTGCGGGCCCGTGGAAGTTTTTCCCTAGGTAAGTTGCTAACTGAAGAGCGACGAAAATTAGAAAGCTGAAATTTTGAGGGAGTGTTTCCTGCCAGTTCTGGCGGCCAGTCTTAATTTGTTTAGCTAGAAGCATTTGCCGAAAAAA